AGAGTTCCATCAGGACTGGAGTTCGCGCGGGTACTAACCATAATACATGTGACGAAATGTTTTGAAAAACAACACAGACAATAGACTACATCATCATTCAGTACACAATATTACACGGACTCACTTTGCGAACACCTAAAATAAACAGTTACGCAATTTAGATTGAGATAAAATCAAGTCATGAGACAGAAATCATGATTTCGCACAACGAAACAGACAGTACCCAGATGAATTACTATATCTTGAAAGTTATTACTAAAAAACCTGTTTTAAATCGTAAAAATTAAGTTTCTGAAGTGATTTCCTGAAAACGAATTAGAATCAATGAAAGTCTTGTTTCTGATTAAATTTTAACTTTATTTGTTTTATAAATCTTAAACTATACAGATACGTAAAATCAATGATATTGAAAAATTGCCATAAAATAACAGATTTTTGTAAATGATATTAAAATATATCACAGTACGTCATAACATTTGGTAATATCTTCAACACTGGAATTACTAAATTTATTTCTTTACAAAAAAAAACTTTTCTCAGTTAATCAAATATAACTTAAACGAACTACGTTGTATTAATATAAGTGAAATGTCTTTTAATAATTCGAGATACACTTTATTGTAACATTTGATAGTAGCTAAATACAAAGATTATCTGACTCAAAGGACCATGAGCTAGCTACCAATTAAGCTATGTATTTTAACAATTTCCTAAGATCTCAATTCCCGTATATAATGTTAGTGTTAATTTATTTATTTTTTTAGTTTGTCTTTTAAATAGTTGTCTTTTTGCCTTAAAATAATTTTATAAATCTCAAAAGGATACAAAATAAAAAAAAAATAGTCAAGTTTAATCGCTGTCTAGAAGGACCAAGATCAAGTTATGTGTCCTACAAATCTAGTAACTTTCCATATATCCAAAACCATTTCCTTAAAATTAATAAACAAAAACTTAACACTACAATATAAACATTGGTTTCCACCGCCTTGAACCCAAAATATATAATATAAGAGTGTTTCCGCAACGGAAAAACACAATGGAAGACTAAAATATTTATTCTACGTACTATGTACTAATATTATGTATAAATGTATAGAGGCCTTAATGTAGCGGCCATAATTACTATATCTTTGTAAAAAGCACCATGTTTTATTTGAGTAAGAATTAATTGTTTCCTATTAATAACATTTAAAAGTATGGATAATAAAAATTTTTGAGATTACATAATTTAGGATCTTTTAAATATAAAAAAATAAAACAATAGGAAATTAAATACGACAAATGACAACGAAGATTAAATCGTATTATAACCTTATTTCGAATGTATTAAAATTCTATAATTATTTTATAGAGATATTAATTTATATAAAAGGATTTTGTCCAGTATTTTACATGTTTAATACTAATGTTAATATAACATACACAACAAAAAGTTACGAAAAAGGTGAAACGAGCCATCGGAAGATTCTGAGGGCATATGTGTGTGCGCGAGAGCAGACGGGTTGCGACTGGCCTGAGGCCTGACTGTCCGGTGCGAGATGAGGCGCGGGGCACGGGAGGCGCGACACGGGAATGTGACGAGCAGGGCGCGGGGTGCAAGAGGTGAGGAGCGGGAAGACGGGAACGCGGCAGCGCGGGTGGCGTGTTGTCTAGAGGAGGGGCAAGGCAAGTTGAGTGGCGCGATCTCAAGGGAAAAAGGGCGAGGTGATGGGACTCGAGTGATTTTTTTTCACTCGAGTTACTCGGTACTGGTAACTTTCTCACTCGAATGCCACTCGAGTGAAGATAAGACTCGAGTGATGTTTATAGACGCGAGTCACTCGGAATATAAAAATCGAGTAACCAAACTTTTAAAACCAATATAACAATATTAATTTAACATAAAAAAATCATTTTCACATTATCATGAATTTTACTCAAAAAATCTAAACAAAATGTGTAAAAATAGTATTTTCTTTAAACTAAACCTGTCTATATAATCAAGAAACCTTTTTATACAACTCTTAGTTGAATTTTTATAGTGTACTACTAATAAGTTCTTATCCATTTTAATTTATTCTAAAAAGTAATTTTTATGAAATCCAAATATGAACAGTTTTATTATGTTCTTACACAATTTAGATAACAAACAACTTTAAAATTAACTTAAATGAAGCTTAAATAAACTCAACAAAACAACAGAAATATGTATTTTTAAAAATGTAAAAAATTTGACTGAAATTGCTGTAAGAATTTCTTACTCCGCTTGGTATAAACCAAAAAAGAGGTTACTAGTCACTCGTAATTCGAGTCAACTCGAGTCACTCGCAACTCGAGTTGTCAAAAATTTCACTCGAGTCCGAGTAAGATAAAAATGACTTGAGTCACTCGAGTAAAAAGCAACTCGAGTCCCATCACTAGGCGAGGTGCGAGAGGCGAGGTACGGGCGCATTACACATGTATATTGACGATTAAAATCATCAAGCATAATAAAATATAATCGAATTTAATTTCCTATTGTATTTATATTCATATCCACTATTCACATTCATATTCACTTCCTATATATATTTATATTCACGTTATTAAAATTTTGGACATGTATATCTTAAAGCGTATCGTAAATCCAAAGTAGGGTGTGTTTACGCTTTATTACATTAGTACAGAAATATAGATATCTATATAAATGTTCAAAAAATCTCCTAATATTGTTTTTTAAAAAAAAACAAAGCAATGGTTAAATGTAGTTGAAAAGTCGTATATTATCTGTTAAGTTAAGGTTATGTGTGCTATGTGTGTGCGAGCGCGCTGTGCAGGTCTGTCCAGACGGCGGCGCAGTGCGCGTGCGCGGCGCCGTGCGCGCGCAGCGCCGAGTGCAGCGACTGCAGCGCCGCCAGCGCGTACGCGCGCACCACGCCGCTCTCCTTTATATAGTATTAGCTTTCTTACCAACATAAGGATAACACCAGCAACAGTAGCAAGGCAATTACAATATTTTTATTCAATCATGCTTCTTGAACTAAAATTGTCTTAAATGTTTTTTTTTTACTTTTACATACATATTTAAAATCTAATGTGGATCAAACTTTCTCAAACAAATAACCGAGTATTGAAACGAATTTTAAACATTTCCCTCCATAAAGGCTACACATGCTCAGTTTTATCAAAAGATTTGGTCTGTTCAGATAAATCTAACGCATGTAGGCAATACTGAATAGTTCTTAGTTTTGTTACATTTAAGTAAGATCATACTGTTCAGATAAAACTGACCGTATATAGCGGTATTAATCGCCGCTTCCAATCTGACAGATGTTAAATTTTTAATTTCGAGGGAAGCGTGGCCTTATTATTATAGACGCTACTACGATTAAATTAGGTGCTAAAAGTAAAATCCTATGAAGAACAGAAATGAAAAAGCATGAATAAAGATAATATAAGTAAAAGAGAGTATACCTCTAGACAGCAGTGCAGCGCGAAGCGGTGCCGCTTGCGCAGCGCGGCGGCGGCGGCGGCGGCCGCGGAGTGCGCCTGCGCCGCCGCCGCCGCCGCGCGCTCGCCGTGCAGCCCGCGCGACAGCCGCGCGCACAACTCCCTTACACAACGCAACCAGATACACATACAAACACCTCGACAGACTTACAATTATCTATACTATTATAATAAAGACAACACACACTTCTTTGTTGCCTAAGATGTCAGCAATTACAGCATGTTGTTGAATAATTATTTCTTTAACGAAATGCCCTACACTTACGTCACGCTTTAGGCTAGATCTTTTCTCGCCAATAAACTTAGGGGGTAAATATTTTGAATAAAATCTCTAATGTGGGAAAGAGACCAGAAGTGGCTGCCAACATTAAGGAAACAAGATTGTCAAGGTTTGTCATGTCATGTCAGTTTGACATTTGCTATTGAGAATTTGACAAATGTAAACAATAAAATAAAATTTTCATAATTCCATGCGGATGAAGCCGCATGGGAACAGCTGGTACTTAATACAAAGTTACTTGCTTAATACAGCTGAAAATTAACGCAACAACGGTTTAGTCCTTCATACTGCTACCCTTTGCCATGATTTTATATTGTTTGTTTAATTTATTTTTTTGTGGACATCATACTTAATATTATAAATGCGAAAGTTTAGATGGATGGATGTTTGTTAGAATATCCTTAAGTGCATTTTTTAAGTATTCTAGGTGACAAACGAGCAAAACGGCTTCCGGAATTCTCCGAAATAGTGAAGAGACCGCTAACCAAAATCATTCGCATTTGCAGTTGCCTTCCCTTAATTTACAAAAAACCCAAAACGAGGATATTTCCCTCGCCCTACATATCTCATCCCTCGCCAAATACAATTCCCCTTCAGATACTTTTCTTGCATATAAAGGGTAGAAATGGGAATCTGCACTCTTCGGACTTAATTTTTTTTTTAAATGTTAACAGTGGTAGTGCCCGCTTTAACATCTTAGCACTGCAGGGCCGGCTCGCCCCCAGTAATACCACGACCACACAGAAGACAGGCGTGAAATGGAAGCAATTCCGTGTTTCGTCTGATGAGTGTGGTGCCGGAGGCCTAAGTTAAGTCCCTTTCTCTTTACCACCCTTTTCTTACAAGGAGAGGTTGGGAAGAGGAAGTGGATTTGACGGTGGAGGAGATGCATAGGAAGGGGAAATATCCTCTTTATGTGCGTCTCCTCCTCCGTCGTATAAGGGTAGGCAACACATCTGCAATTGCGGATGTCTATGAGCAGCGGTCGCTTCGCCATTTTGGCGGTTTCAGGTGGCCGCTTGCTCGTATGCCACATTATGTTATAAAAAAAAATACGCCTACATCTTTGTTAAGGCGGTTCGCTTTTTAAATTAGAAACATTTAAGTGCACATTATAGTCTAAAACTCTGAAAAATAACTTATTATTTAAAGACTCAAATTAAGTGTAAAACATACCTGTAAGCTCCTAATGCATCTAACGCGAGCAATATTTTTGCACCGGCACCGTATTCATAGTCCATCTCCTCTATAGACGTCTCGCCCATTGTTGTAGCGAGACTGAAAAAACATAATACAAATTTAATAATTAAATTACAATAGGGAATATGTTATAAGATAACCAGAATAAAATATTGTGTCTTAAATATTCAACTATTTCGCTAAAAATAAATTGCTTTTTTTCTGTGCGGCTAAAATGCAACCGAAGCTGGAGACACGTGACGTAAATCGTCACATTTTATTCAATTCTATCACATTCGCTCAGAGGTCACTTTGATGTCAAAAACGTCAAAGTATTTTGCCGGAGGCCTAATACTAGTCCCTTTTCCTTTCTACCCTTTTCTTAAGCGGAAAGGATGGGAGGGAAAAGTGGATTTGACAGTGGAGGAGACGCATAGGAAGGGGAAATGTCCTCTTTATGTGCGTCTCCTTCTCCGTCAATCAGGGTAGGCAACGCATCTGCAATTGCGGATGTTTATTGGCAGCGGTCGCTTTCCATTATGGTGGATTCAGGTGGCCGCTTGCTCGTTTGCCACCTCGTATTATAAAAAAAAAGTCTCATTGGTTCTCAGATTTATCAAAAGTCAGAAATCAATTCATTTTCATTATTCCAGGTACAAATAAGTGGTAATAAATGATTCTCTACGTTTACTTTTAATTTAAAGTTAGTTTTAATATGGTGTTTATAGTAAAATACTTCAAGAGTGAATTTCTATATAAACTAACGTAAATGAAGTGTGTATTGACAATACAGTGACGCCAATTGATTGGTCACTTGCTTCGACTAATGGCGTTGTTTAGAACTTGAAGAGGAAATTTTAAAAAATACACTTTTTAATGATTATATTTAACCACTGAATCACATTAAATTAAAAAAAATCTTTACAGATATGTTTTTATAGTAATAAAATATACTTAAATAAAGTTTGGGCCAATTTGACATAAGCATATTGGCTCTTACAGGCTATTTAGCTGGCAACTTACTGAGCAGCGGTTTTTAGGGCTCCCCTAACAGCGAGCCAGGCGGGGGGTTCAGCTGCGGGTGCTGCGCCCAGCGCGCTCAGCGCAGCCCCCAGCTCCCTGATGTCTGCGCGCTCCGCCTCGCAGCGACCACACACTGATCATTACAACTTACTTTATCATCAACAAAAATAAATAAATTATAATGACTTCCACTGAATGCGCACCTCTGCCTTCCGTTTATATACTAGCTGTTGCTCGTGACTTCGTGTGAAATTAATTAAAAGATGAAAGATTTTTTGAAAGCGGCCTAGTAGTTTTGGAGTTATCTCAATATATACAAAAATACAAATTTTACCTTTTTATAACATAAGTATAGATTTATTATACTGTAAAAAAAAACTTACTTTTACTATCTTACTGATATTATAAATGCGAAAGTTTGGATGGATGAATGGATGTTAGAGTTTGTAGTATATAAGAACATATAGGGAACTTAAGTTTTTTAAACACCGCGCGGACAGAGCAGCGAGGTAAAGCTAGTAATCAATAAATTAGGCTTCGTAAAACCATGCAATTGGTAGCCAGGTATTATAACGTAAATAATAAAGATATAATATACTGTAAATAAATAAAATATGATATGGAGTGATCATTTTAAATTATAACCAACCTCTTTCGAATATTTTATATAATCTGTTGAGTCCTAGCTGCACCAAACGAAGTTGCTCTTGCTCCGATACGAAAGATTCCTGCATTTCATCTATCGAGATTTGTGCCTGGAAAATACATAGACATACATTAAGTCCTAGTTTACATTGGCTATTGCCTCTCTTTTTTCTATCTCTCTCTCCCTCCTTACTCGGAAATTGAAACTAACTATTTATACAATACTCCATACTAAGATTATAAATGAGAGAATTTGGATGGAAGGACAGATGTATGTTTTTTATTAGGCGGCCTTATGCCGCCCTCTTGTTTCACTAACATTATTTTTCGTCAGGGACATTTATTTCTTAAAATAGTTAAAACTTAAATCTACATTAAAATACTATATCTAAATTTCAGTACAGATAGATGTTTGTCACTAAATATCTCCAGAAGGGCTTAACGAATATCTATGTAATTTGGTACAGATGTATACATAATTAGGAAGAACACATAGGCTTAGTTTTTTAATTCCGCGCAAACGGAGTCTGGGACAAATGCTAGTAATACATTTATTTCGTAGAACTTACTGGAGATTCTTCTTGTGTACCGGCCAGTACGAATTCATCATGTTTCGGCTTGTCTA